CTGTTTGCCCTGCACAGCACACACAAATTAGCCTTGAGGACATTGTTTTTCCTGAACACTCTGGGAGTTTCAGAGTGATACACCAATAAAGGCTTCACTTTGCAATCACCACTAGCATTGGCACACATCAACAGAGTAAGCCTGTCTTTCATAGGCTTATGTCCTGGGAGTGCCTTTTCCTCCTGAGTAATGTACGTCCTGCTTGGCATTTTCTTCCAAAACAGGCCTGTTTCGTCACAATTAAACACTTGTTCAGGTTCCAGTCCTTCACTGTCTATGTACTCCTTGAAGTCCTGCACATATTTTTCAGCCGATTTGTGGTCCGAACTGGCAGCCTCACCATGCCTTATCACACTATGAATGCCACTACGCTTCTTAAATCTCTCAAACCAACCTTTGCTGGCCTTAAATTCACTCACATCACTAGTTGCTGGCATTTTTGTAATTAAATCGCCATGCAACTTCCTAGCCTTTTCACATATGATCGCTTGAGAGATGCTGTCTCCTGCTATCTGTTTCTCGTTTATCCACACCAATAACAGTCTCTCAACATCTTCTATCACTTGCGATCTCAGTTTCGAAAACATAGTTGCACCTTTGGCAAGAACAGCTTCCTTGACTGCCGTTTTCTTGCCCACAATAGTAGCGATGGTTGATTGGGGTTTATTATACAACCTGACCAGCTCAGAGACACGCACTCCACTTTCATACTTAGCAATGATCTCTTTCTTCATCTCCATAGTAATTCTCACCCTTTTTGCTGTAGGGTTGACACTAGAAGCTTTCTTGGGGCCCATGGTGACTTATTTTGCAGGTGCAATCACTACAAAGGCTGTGATAATATGAAATGTTCCAGTTGTATGTTTGGAAGCGACCGCGGTGGCTGGCTGGCTTGTAAACACTGGCACCCAAGGGACAAGTGAGGCGCGCTCAGGCCGAAGTGGATGCGTATGGTACGGAAGGAATAGCGCTGGTCTGGTTTTTAAGCGCTAGTCGAGGCAAAATTTTTGCGTTAAAATGTATCGTTAGTCAGATGTATCGTTAATCGATGCCATCGCTGGTTGAGGGTCCACTGTATATATAAAATATGAAATAACTTTTAAAAGCACTTGAAATTTTGGGGTTTCCAGACATAATGGAGAGACTTAGTGCTTACGGATCTCACGGAGAATGTAAAGAAACCAGGTTGGGCGCAGTGACTGTATTAGAAAGTCAGGTGGGGGGAGCCGTATGGCGAGTTTTGGTCATAATTTAGAATGACCATATTAGCGGAACACCGTAAAGCGAAACGCTGTAAAGCGGGGCCCTACTGTAGTCACTGGACACTTTCATAAATTGTTATTATCTCCTGGAAGCTTGTGTTGTGTGTATGTGTGTATGGACTTCTAAATGTGCTGAGTCAGGGTCTGGCAGCTGTCAAAATGACATATTATACCATCACTCACTACCCTGACTGCCTGTCAACACCCATGGGGTCCCATGCCTTCTTCCCCACCATCATTCCTACCTACCTTTTTCTTTCTTTCTCCTTTCTTCTCCTTCTTTCTCCTTTCTTCTCCTTCTTTCTCTTTCTTTCTCATTCTTTCTCTTTCTTTCTCCTTCTTTCTCTTTCTTTCTTTCTTCTGGTATCCTGGGCATTGCTTTCAGTCACTAACTCCTCAAAACTATGAAATTCATCTTCACTGACACTTCCATCTGGGCTTCTTCTCTTCCACTTGGGAAGAGAAGAGGCCCAAATTCGCCGGGGAGTCAGATACACCTACCATCCAACTTGCGACCTGCTCAACATATGACCACTCGACTTACGACTATGTTTTGTATGCCAAATTTCTGGGAAATAAGCAACTGTTTGTGCTATACACTGTGTTTATCCTATACCTTACAGTATAAAATACAGTACTAACAGCATAAGAAGTAAAGTAAAAAATGAAATACCAAAATAAAACAAAATACACCTACCATCCGACTTACGACCGAGCTTGGTTCCAACCAATCGGTCGTAAGTCAAAATGGACGTAAGTCGAACTTTACTACTGAATATCAACATCACACTTTTGAAATGACTTTATTTTATTGTTTTATTTTGGTATTCCATTTTTTACTTTACTTTTTATGCTGTTAGTACTGTATTTTATACTGTAATGTTTAGGATAAACACTGTATACAACACAAAGTTGTTTATTTCCCAGAAATTTGGCATAAAAAACACGGTCGTAAGTTGAGTGGTCGTTTGTCGAGCAGGTCGTAAGTCGGATGGTAGGTGTAAAATCATTATAAAAAATGTGATGTTGACATTCGTAGTAAGGTTTGACTTATGCCCATTTTGACTTACGACCAGTTGGTTGGAACCAAGCTCGGTGGTAAGTCGGATGGTAGGTGTACTTCTTACCGCTAGGCATGCTGAACAAGGACTACTGAAATGGCGTTCCCACAATGCACCACTGGCTCCCCGATTTTTTTATACTGTGCACACTGACCATGGAGACCCATTCTCTCACATGTGGGCCTACGAGCTTTCTCCCACTTGATTTGAAGCTGCTAGAATTTATATGTATTAATACGTCAGAAGCACTGGCTCGTAAGACGTATATATCTGGCCGAAACAGTCAAAGGAATAAATATCCAACTTAATATATCGATAAATGGTTCCCCTATTAAAAAACACACTGAGGGTAAATTTCTAGGTCTTCTCCTTGACTGTAATCTTAAATTTCATACCCACATCCAGCATATAACCAAGAAAATTTCCAAATCAGTAGGCATCCTTTCTAAGATCCGATACTATGTAACCCAAACGACACTACTTACCCTATACCACTCTTTAATATATCCGTACCTCACCTATGGTATTTGTGCCTGGGGATCAACCACAACCAACCACCTTAACCCTTAAACGGTCCAAACGTATATATACGTTCACTCGCGTAGCGCCCCAAATTTTTTGAGGAAAAAAAAAATCTTTTCTTTTAAAAGGAAAAAAGAGCACATGGTACCCAGGTATCCCCAATTATTTTAATATGGCACACAGTGAGTGCATACACCCATTCTCTCATGTCTAGGTGACTCAGACTTACTGTGGCAATGTTGAATGAATGACAAAGAAAACGTATATATACGTTTGGAGCGCTACGGGCGTGAACGTATATATACGTTTGGACCGTTTAAGAGTTAAACCTTTAATTACCCAACAAAAAGCTGCTGTGCAGATGATTACCAGCTCCTTTGCCAGACAGCACACCCCACCACTTTTCAAAAGCCTGAACCTACTAAATATATGAGACATACACTCATATTATTGTGCCTACTACATATACAGAACATTAAACTCCAATATAAACCCTCCACTTCAACTTTTCCTTGATAGTCACAACAGAATACAGTCACAACACAAGGCACAAGGCACTCTTTGACATCCCTCATGTCAATCACACACTATGCAAAAATGAAATGCACACAAATGGCCCGAAGATCTGGAATTTACTACCTGAACCAGTGAAGGATCCCCTGGCTACATATAAATTTAGGACTGTTCTTAAAAATCATCTCATCTCTCAATACTAACCAAACCAACCAAAATGACTTCTAATCAGTTTGAAGCAACTCTCCCAAATATGACTCACGAAATCGTAATGACACGATTGCAAACAAACCATACCCCGGCCGGGATTGAACCCGCGGTCAGAGAGTCTCAAAACTCCAGACCGTCACGTTAGCCACTAGACCAGCTAGCTGGTCTAGTGGCTAACGCGACGGTCTGGAGTTTTGAGACTCTCTGACCGCGGGTTCAATCCCGGCCGGGGTATGGCTCCCAAATATATTATATGACCTCGAGTCTATTAAATATCTGCCAATCTAAGAAATATTACTGTCTGAACCATTATTTGTAATATTGTTTTTATTATGTGCAACTTCAAGATTATTATTCTTATAAACCTTCACCTTGACTACCTCACATTAGTATTAAGATTCAATAAAGATTTATTAAAAAATTAACCACTCTTATCTTGTCTAGATTTAAGTAGTTATTATGTACTAAGATTAGTCGGCCTGAAATGCCCCAGCATGATAGTGGCTTTCTTTGTACTTAACAATCCAAAATTGTAATTACACATTGTAACCTTTGCAAAGAAATGTAATCTTTATTCTTTTATTCTTTATACATATCTTGTATGAACAGTGTGCCTAGGAGCCCAGCACAACAGAGTTGGCTGAGGAAGTATCCATAGAGGAGAGGTAGTTATCAGTCATAATGCCATTCATACTTTTTACTCTCCATTCCACATCTTTAGAATACTACACTGTAATGATGATGCTGCCATAAAACATTTCCTGGAAAACGGTAACAGAATAGAAAACTTTATGGTAAAACCTGCCTTTCTCCTCACAGTCTGACAGTACAATAAAGCTTAGTATCTAAATATTGGGGCACTGATTTTTCTGTCTTATTTAGCTCTTGACCTCTCTGACATTATTTTAAGCAGGTGAAAACTAGTACTACTTAATGAACAAGATCTTATTTTTTCTCGTAGTTTCTAATTGTACAAATAACTGATTCTTTCACACAAAACTCACAGGCAGTTTCCAACACATGCACACTATCTCTGAAGATATCTAACACATATTTTCTTTAATGAAGTAATAGATTTATGCTAAATCTTCCATATGTACCCTTGGGGCTCCCACAACAGTAATACATATTGTACATATGCACATTGCACACACATGCATGCACACTCACACTTGCATGTGCACATATGCACAAACTTTGACAGAAAAATGAAGAATATACAGAGAGAGCTATGTACTGTATATTTCAGCCTCGGAAATTCTCTTTAGCAAACCTCTAGCTATCTCTGACTGGGGCACCAATATACATCACAGATACCTTTTTATCTGTTTCTTTTTCTCTAAGTGGTTCCTCCCTTTTCATCAATGTTTATAACACTAACCTATACACATAAATAGCCTTTAAATGAAGTTTTTCGAAGTAAATTTCATACTTAAGAAAATCATCCGATGATTCTAGTTTTGACTTGTCACTGCTTGATGAGGAAGGAGTAAGCCGGGTGGGGAATGACTGATAACCACTATTGTGACTGAAGAAGGTGTGTTCCAGCTCAGCAAGGTAGACGCAACATCTGAAATTGTAAAAAATGTCATTAAAGAGCTTGAATTAATCATAGACAACATATTTTCTTATCTTATCCTTTTCTACGGTAAACTCTAGATTTAATGGACTAACAGGGCATTTAGAGGGTGGCTGGTAATGGTGAATATATTGGTCACAGACAAAACTGTTTTTGCTGTCTGTAACAATAGTGGACAATTCTGTAACCAGCAAAATTTGCAATTATTTCTGATTCAATTAACCCAGCAGATTTTGTCTCGTAGTTCTGAAGGCTGTTAAATGCTCAAAGAATAACAAAATTTACTCTTAGAGGTTTAATTCTCAGGTCATCTTCAGGCACAATATTTTTTTTATTTTTTTTTTTTTTTTGCTAAGTCACATTCTTGCTGCCTTCAAGTGGTTTGTTATAGCTACTTTATATGATTTTGATATGACATTAAAAACATAACTTGGCATTAAAATGAGTATCAAAAGAGGGGATGGGCAGTTAAGAAATCAATATATTCAATTAAAGAGAGAAATAAAAAAGGGAATAAGAAAAGCTAAAAGAGATTATGAGGCTAAAGTGGCAAGAGATTTGAAGACTAACCCAAAAGGTTTCTCTCAGGTATATAGAAGTAAGATTAGGGACAAGATAGGCCCACTCACAAGTAACTCAGGTCAGATCACTGACAGTGATAAGGAAATGTGTAACATTTTTAACTCTTATTTCCTCTCAGTTTTTATGCAGGAAGATACTAGTGAAATTCCAGAAATAATAAATTATGAAGAACAGGATGATGATAAACTATGCACAATTAGGGTAACTACTGACATGGTCCTCAGACAAACAGAGAAATTAAAACCTAACAAATCCCAAGGCCCTAATGAACTGTTTGCAAGGGTGTTAAAGGAATGTGAAGAGGAACTTAGCATACCTTTGGCTAATCTTTTCAACATATCACTACAAACTGGCATAGTGCCTGATAAGTGGAAAATGGCAAAGGTAATACCTATTTACAAAGCAGGAGACAGGTTCTTACCTTCGAACTATAGATCAATAAGCCTTACCTCCATAGTGGGAAAATTTATGGAATCAATAACTGCCATGGCAATTCATAGCCATCTTGAAAGGCATAAACTGATTAATGAATCTCAGCATGGTTTTACAAAGGGGTGTTCCTACCTTACGAATTTAAAAACTTTTCACTAAGGTATTTGAGGAGGTAGATCATGGTAATGAATATATATTGTGCATACGGAATTCTGTAAGGCTTTTGATAGAGTTCCACATCAGAGGCTATTGAGGAAAATTATGGCACACGGAATAGGAGAATTTTTTTCCTGGGTAGAGGCGTGGTTGACAGATAGGCAGCAGAGAGTTTGCATCAATGAGGAGAAATCATAGTGGGGGCATGTCACGAGTGGTGTTCCACAGGTGTCAATGTTGGGCCCATTGTTGTTCACAATTTATATAAATGACATTGATGAGGGAATAAATAGCGCCATCAGCAAATTTGCTGATGACACCAAAATAGGTCGCCTAATTCATTCTAATGAGCACATTAGAGCACTCCAGGAAGATATGAATAGACTGATGCAGTTTAATATTGAGAAATGCAAAGCTCTTAACACTGTACAAGAAAATAACCATGCCACATATAAACTAAATAATGTAAGTCTTAATATTACTGAATTCAAAAAAGATTTGGGAGTTCTGGTTAGCAGTAATCTAAAACCAAGCCAACAGTGCATAAGTGTTCGCAATAAAGCTAACAGAATCCTGGGCTTCATAGCAAGAAGTATAAATAATAGAAGTCCTCAGGTTGTTCTTCAATTCCATATAACTTTGGTTAGGTCTCATTTAGATTATGTTGCACAGTTCTGGTCACCATATTACAGAATGGATACAAATGCATTGAAAAATGTACAAAGAAGGATGACAAACTTGATCCCATGTATCAGAAATCTTCACTGTGAGGATAGACTGAGGGCCCTCAATCTGCACTCTCTAGAAAGGTGTAGAATTAGGGGGGGATATAATTGCAGTGTATAAATGGAAAACAGGAATAAATGAAAGGAATGTAAATAGTGTGCTAAAAATATCTAGACAAGACAGGACTTGCAGCAATGGTTTTAAGTTAAAAAAATTCAGATTCAGGAAGGATATAGCAAATCACTGGTTTGGCAATAGAGTTGTGGATGAGTGGAACAAACTCCTGATTACCATCATAGAAGCTAAGACATTGTGTAGTTTTAAAAATAGGTTGGATAAATACACGAGTGAGTGTGGGTGGGTGTGAGTTGGACCTGACTGGCTTGTGCTAATAGGTCTGATGATGTGCTCCTTTCTTAAGTGGATGTGACCTTACCTGACAAGGTGGCTCATTGGTTTAAGCTGGGAGGTGACTTGGACCTGCCTCGCATGGACCAACAGGCCTGCTGTAGTGTTACTTCTTTCTTATGTTCTTTTCTCATTTACAATTTTATTTTTGTATCTCTTCCTTAAGCCAGACAATGTTCCATCATATTATAATACAATGGTTAACTGAAATATAAAAACCGAGGCCATGACCTTTCTATTATTTTTTTTTTTAACAAGTCGGCCGTCTCCCATTGAGGCAGAGTGACCCAAAACGAACGAAAATCCCCAAAAATAAAATACTTTCATCATCATTCAACACTTTCACCTCACTCACACATAATCACTGTTTTTGCAGAGGTGCTCAGAATACAACAGTTTAGAAGAATATACATATAAAGATACACAACATATCCCTCCAAACTGCCAATATCCCAAACCACTGCTTTAAAGTACAGGCATTGTACTTCCCATTTCCAGGATTGAAGTCCGGCTATATAAAAATAAATGGTTTCCCTGAATCCCTTCACTAAATATTACCCTGCTCACACTCCAACAGCTCGTCAGGTCCTAAATACCGTTCGTCTCCATTCACTCCTACTGAACACACTCACGCACGCCTGCTGGAAGTCCAAGCCCCTCCCCCCTTCCTTCCAACCTTTTCGAGGATGACCCCTACCCCGCCTTCCTTCCCCTACAGATTTAAACGCTCTCCATGTCATTCTACTTTGATCCATTCTCTCTAAATGACCAAACCACCTCAACACCCCTCTTCAGCCCTCTGACTAATACTTTTATTAACCCTTTCAGGGTTTCGGACGTACTAGTACAGCTTACGCACCAGGATTTTTGACGTACTAGTACGCATAAATTCTAGCACCCTCAAATCTTGTGAGAGAAAGCTGGTAGGTGTACATATCAAAGAATGGGTCTATGTGGTCAGTGTGCGCAGTATAAAAAAATTCTGCAGCACACAGTGCGTAATAAGAAAAAAAAAACTTTGACCGTGTTTTTGGATTAAAACAGGGACTTGCACTGCATTTTCGTATGGTATTTATTGCTGTATTCCAGTTTTCCTGGTCTCATTTTATAGAATGGAAGATATATTACAGAAATTGAGATGATCTTGACAGGTTTTACAATGAAAAGTACCTTGAAATTGAGCTCAAAGTAGAAGAAATGTTCAATTTTTACCAAAGTTCAAAAGTAAACAAATCATGCTAAGCGTCCAATACACATCAACTGGTGAGTCTAATATTCTTTCACAAGTGCGCCGATATTATTTATACCATTTCTACACTAATGCAGTAGTCTGCATAACAGTAAATCTTCTATTTTTTGTGAGAATAAAAATTCCAAGTGGAAAGCAAAAAAGTGCAAGAGTGGGCGTGGGGACATGACTAATGAACAGAGGAAATGTTATTTTAGTGCCAGGAATGTCTTTCTTTTTTATTCTGGACCCTATTTGGAAATTGCCATCTTTTGAAATTTGTGTGAAATTGGCAAAATTGCTAAATTCTGACTACTTTATTGGATAGTTGAAATTGGTAAATGGGTGGTTTCTTGTACTCATTCGGTAGAAAAAATGGAGTTCTAGCGAGATAGTTATGATTTTTGTCGGCTAGTACACAGGAATTGGCTGAAAATAGGGCTCAAAGTTGGCAAAATCGCCGAAGCTTAAACATCGTCGAGACTGCTAACTTCACGAGAGCATAATTCCGTAAGTTTTCCACCAAATTTCATACGTTTGGTGTCATTATGATCGGGAAAAAATTCTCTATCTTCTCATAATAATTTTTTTTTTGTCTTTTTTAAATTTGGGCGACCCTGAGAACAAGTCTCGGAGAGGGCCTGGGGACCCTGAAAGGGTTAACTCCACACCTTCTCCTAATTTCCACACTCCGAATTTTCTGCATAATATTTACACCACACATTGCCCTTAGACAGGACATCTCCACTGCCTCCAACCGCCTCCTCGCTGCTGCATTCACAACCCAAACTTCATACCCATATTAGAGTGTTGGTACTACTATACTTTCATACATTCCCTTCTTTGCCTCCATAGATAACATTTTTTGACTCCACATATACCTCAACGCACCACTCACCTTTTTCCCTCATCAATTCTATGATTAACCTCATCCTTAATAAATCCATCTGCTGACAAGTCAACTCCCAAGTATCTGAAAACATTCACTTCTTCCATACTCCTCCTCCCCAATTTGATATCCAATTTTTCTTTATCTAAATCATTTGATACCCTCATCACCTTACTCTTTTCTATGTTCACTTTAAACTTTCTACCTTTAAACACACTCCCAGACTCATCCACTAACCTTTGCAATTTTTCTTTAGAATCTCCCATAAGCACAGTATCATCAGCAAAAAGCAACTATGTCAATTCCCATTTTGTATTTGATTCCCCATAATTTAATCCCACCCCTCTTCCAAACACCCTAGCATTTACTTCTTTTACAACCCCATCTATAAATACAGTGGACCCTCATCTAACGATGGCATCGCATAACGTTAAATCCGCTAGCCAGTCCCTGGACCAATTATGTACCTCTGTAATCTTTTGACTACCGCTCACGGGATGGGTATGGGGTGCATAATAAACATATTAAACTAATTAAAAAACGCCTAGCAATACATTTTAATGCAAAAAT